TGTTTCAATTAACCCCAACAGTTGGGTTTTCACATTAAATAAATGCAATGTTTAGAGTCCACTAGAATCAAGTATTAAAATTTTATTATTAAAAGTTATTATTATTAAAATTTTTAAGTATTAAAAGTACTCTTAGAAATGTGTAAACAACAGATTTAAACAGACATCTCCAGCATGATGAAAAAAATGAACAGAGGGCTTCAGTAGTGAAACTCCAAACGAAATCCAAATTTCTATGAAATCCTATTTTAAAGCAAAAGTAAAGTGCAACATAGAGTGCAAGAAGCAAGTGTCCATCTCATAGTCCAAATCACTGAAATCAAAGTTCAGTATTATAGTGTAAGAATGACAACATGTCCACGTATTCTAGTCTACTAATAATAAAATATTATAATTAATAATTATTTTTGGGGTAATAAAACTAGATGTAGGCTAAGTGTACAATAGCCTTTAAATTTACTTAAAATGCATATATAATAGCAATGAGGCAATAATAATTAGTTCAAATAAAGTATCAAAAGCAAGAAATCATATGGTTTTATTGAACAAAACTGTTAAAATACTGTATTATAGTGTAATAGAGCACAACACGCTCGAAAACTATTGATCCTAGTTACTGTGTCTTGTGTTTGCCCTCTTTATCCTGTATATTATGATGTGATCTGATTATTTCACCCAAATAAATCCTTGAATCTCAAATCTAGCTTGCCTGGAATAATGTTGCAAAAGTGAAAGAAGACAAAACAAGGCCACTGGAATATTAGGTGCTTATGCAAGCGATTTACAGTTTTCCCTTTGATACTATAGGTTGGGGTTTTCAAAACTCTATTACCTCACTTATTGTGGTTTTCATGTGCTTCTATTTGAAAGAAGCCATATTCTGTATGTACTTTAAACATTCACACATAATCTTTTTATATTAGAAACAATGACATGAACTACTAAATCACATTTTTGTCCTTGCATTGTACTGCACATTTGTCTTGTGTTTCAGAAAAGCAGTGGCACTGCAGCAACAGGCAACAGTCACCCAGTTAGTCTGATTAATTGCCTTTTTGAGGATGGAAAGAGGCTGTGTACTAATTTAGAAAACCAAAAGGAGCTACTCAACCTTCACAGACCTGTTAATGAAGGCTATTCTCAACATTTTCTCTGAAATGAACTGATTGACCCATCAGTAATCAAGCTAATTATAGATTGACAGCCTACAGTACTGACCAGTTGTTTGCTTTTTTATGAAAAAATATTTTCAGCAAGCATAACAATCTAAAACGGTTTAAAAGTAGAAACTGACTCAAAAATCATGGCTTGATACAGACATCATCTCACCAGGACAGTTAATATCAAAGCTTGCTGGTCAATGATCTATTCTAAGTGCTTTTGGATGATTTACAGTAGATACCAGATAAACTTTACTCAGCATGAAGTTCTCCCTTCTTGATCGGCTTCTGAGGATTTATCAACCTAAGCAGGCCAGAGTGCTGAGCTAATGTAATTGTCTAAGCCGAAGTAGCCAAGGAGCAGCATGGTATCTCTCATTTCTAAGAGAGATGACAGTTGGTTATAAAAACCCCAACCTATTAGCACTTACAATCATGCTTCTGTTGAAATTTGTTTATTATTTGAGATGTACAGATATTTTAATCATCCTTTTTAACAACCATTTTGGGGGGTTAGGGTTTGTGGGGTTTGGTTGTAAAACTGGAATTTGTAAAATTTAATATAACTTTACAGAAAATGTAAGTGATTTTTCCCCCCTGAAATGATGTTAACACTCATGCTGTTCATATCTTGTGGCTATAGTACTGAAACAGTATTTTGTTTATGGATTGGCCTCATTCACTTCCACTGTAAGCCCCTCACTGTAACCCAGATTTGTAAAATGTAATTATTTATTTAAAAGAAGGACAAGTAGAAATATATATTTTTTTGTGGTAATCAGCATTATGCCCCAAATGCTGTCAATTGTAAAATGGAAAAATATTATAAATATTATAATTAATAATTATTTTTGGGGTAATAAAACTAGATGTAGGCTAAGTGTACAAAATTTACTTAATTTACTTAAAATGCATATATAATAGCAATGAGGCAATAATAATTAGTTCAAATAAAGTATCAAAAGCAAGAAATCATATGGTTTTATTGAACAAAACTGTTAAAATACTGTATTATAATGTAATAGAGCCACTGATCTATATATAATTATAAAATAAAATAATACAATATAATCTCTATTATAGATCAGAGAATAGAGCTAATGTACATCACGCATTACAATAAAGGCCTGCAGAGGGCGCCAACGGCCTGACGATTGTTTTTACACATTGCTGTGCGATCTAATACTTGTTTAATATTGACTAAGCATCATTTTATTCAAATGTCCACTTAATCTTTTATATTTGGCCATTTTTTGATGACAGAAATGCTCTAGCCACTTTAATTTAATGATTATGTGGACATCAAAACGTGAAATGTCCACTTAATCTTTAATATTTGGCCATTTCTTTAGGACAGAAATGCTATAGCCATTGTAATTAAAAGAATATGTGGACATCAAAACGTGTAAACTCAGAGTGAGGGTTTGAGCTTTTATTTTGAAACCACGATGTATTCTCCCGAGTTTGCGTAGATTTATAAATGATTTACCTTACAAATCTGATGAAATGGCGCACGTTGCGTTCCCATATGAACGTTATAATAAATCCAAACTCACAACAACATGCAGAGATGGAGTTTGAGCTGCTCCACAAATGTAAATGATAACAGTTCCTGTGGAACTGCATTTACTGTGAACGGAGCCGCTGTGAGACACACGTACGTAACCTACATGCCTATAACCATAGATATGTATAGATGCCCCATTCGACGGCTGCATGCTCCAACACTAGGCAGCATTTATCCGTTTATGTATTGAGCAAATGCATCTATATCCTCTGCCTCAGTTACCACTCCACTTAATACAGCCTGATTGCTCAATTCTATATTCATCCATTTCATTGGTTTAGTCTGCTGCTCAGAACTCAAAATAAGCTCTCCAATTCCAGCTTGGTGTGAGTTATCCTGCTTGGGGTGTGCCCAATATGCCCAATATGTTTGTTTTCTATTCCATTCAAAGATTATATGAACATGTAAACATGTGAATGGTGCAAAAGTTCTGACATATATTTTCTGTTTCATTTTTCCATCACAAAAACCTTTTTAAGATTTAACAAGGGTGTGTAGACAGTGTGTAGAAGTTGTAAGGTGATGTCTGTGCTTTGTCCCTACAGTGGTGGAAAGGATCATCTATACCACAATCAGTCTAGATGTGGAGTTTGTGAGCAGGTTCTGAGAGACCCGGTCTCTATCTCCTATGGACACAGTTTCTGCAGACAGTGCATCAATACATACTGGGATCAGTCCAGACCATCAGAAAACTATGACTGTCCTCAGTGCAGAAAGACATCTAGAACATATCCTGTTCTACAAACATACAACATTATTGGAAGATCCAGATCTGCTGATTCTGTTCAATATTACACTCAAAAAGCCCAGCAGGAGAAAACAAGAGACCTACAGAAACCAGTTGATGATAAACTACGTAGGTTCTGATAAAGGGCAATGTGATGCTCTATGAGGAGGACCTGATTGAGAGCGGCATAGACGTTACTGACGCCTCAGTGTATTCTGGGATTTGCACTGAGATCTTTAAGGAAGAATCTGTGATTAATCAGAGGAAAGTCTACAGCTTCATTCATCTGAGCTTTCAGGAGTTTCTCGCTGCTTTCCATGTTATTCACTACCATCTTTGTACTACAATGAAAGCACTACAGTTTATTACACTGCATCATATGTTTAAAGCAGCAATAGATACAGCTCTACAAAGTAAACTCCTGCTCACTGCTCAACAATCTCCTACATGCTTCAGATGTCAGAGGAGCCACTGGATGAGCTGAACACCATGAAATACAACACATCAGCTGAGGGGAGAAAAAGACTGATACCAGCTGTGATCAACTGCAGAAAAGCTCTGTGAGTGTTTTCTTCTTGTATACTTATTGAAGAGACTTTTATACTTGAAGAGAAGAGACTTGAGGTTTTTACACAACTCCCCTCCAAATACATCCACCGTCTGACAGAAATTCAGGGATTCAGTGAGCCTCAGAAGGAGGAATATTTCAGAAAGAGAATCAGTGACCAGCATCAAGCCAGCAGAATCATCTCACACATCAGAAGAGCAAGAAGCCTCCACATCATGTGCCACATCCCCGTCTTCTGCTGGATCTCATCCACTGTGCTTCAGAAGCTCCTGGAAGAAGATCTGAGTGCAGAAATCCCTCAAACTCTGACTGAAATGTACATCCACTTCCTGCTGATTCAGATCAACATGAGGAACCAGAAGTATGAAGAGAGAGATCCAGAGAAACTCCTGCAGTCCAACAGAGAAGTGATTGTGAAACTTGCTGAAGTGGCTTTCAAACAGCTGATGAAGGGCAATATGATGTTCTATGAGGAGGACCTGATTGAGAGCGGCATAGATGTGACTGACGCCTCAGTGTATTCTGGGATTTGCACTGAGATCTTTAAGGAGGAATCAGTGATTCATCAGACGAAAGTCTACTGCTTCATTCATCTCAGCTTTCAAGAGTTTCTTGCTGCTTTTTATGCAGTTTACTGCTATTTATGTAGAACTACTGAATCACTTTTTGATTCACTACATAATTTTCATACACGTGTATTCAGTAAAGTACAAGAAAGTGAAAATGGACAGCTTGATCTGTTCCTGCGATTTCTGCTGGGCATCTCACTGGAGTCCAATCAGAGACTCTTACAGGATCTACTGACACACACAGAGAACAGCTCAGAGAGCATCAGGAGAACCACACAGTACATTAAAGAGAAGATCAGAGATGGACATGGACTCTCCACTGAAAGATCCATCAATCTGTTCCTCTGTCTGCTGGAAGTGAAAGATCAGACTCTGTCCAGAGAGATTCAGGAGTTTGTGAAATCAGACAAACACTCAGAGAAGAAACTCTCTCCTGCTCACTGCTCAACAATCTCCTACATGCTTCAGATGTCAGAGGAGCCACTGGATGAGCTGAACACCATGAAATACAACACATCAGCTGAGGGGAGAAAAAGACTGATACCAGCTGTGATCAACTGCAGAAAAGCTCTGTGAGTGTTTTCTTCTTGTATACTTATTGAAGACACTTAAAGTGTTTACATAACCTGGCAATCAGATGCAAGTCTCTATTAAAGGTATTTAGAAATGTAATATTATAATTGTTCATTGGGTTGACAAGAGGTGACCAGCCTTTTATAAATATTCTACCAATTCTACACAGTCATAATAATAATAAATGTATCTTATCTCTTTCAACCCTAGCGTTTTCTTAAAGAAACGTTTCCAGCCAGTGCCAGATTTTTGATCATACAATCATATGCACAAAACTTTCATGGTCTCCAATAATGTGTTTTTTTAACCTTAAACCGCATAAACACATTTCATTACACCAAATACACAAAATAATGTTCTTTTTAGCAACATCATATGACCCCTTTAAGATATGTGTGTGTTTTAAATTAAAATAATTATTTATACGTTTGACTCATCCCTTTTCTTAGAAAAATAAATAAATAAATAAATGCTGAAATGTGAGGTTTGTAACTTTATAAAACCTTTTCTGTTTGTGGAAACCTGTATTTGAACTGCAAACACAGGTGGTAACAAATACAAATGTTTTTGCAGACATTTTATGGTTTAATATGCTACCCTAAACCTATATATGTATATATATATATATATACATTTTTATTCTATATGATGGCAATTTGTTGTCTATACTATGCAATGTTATATGCAATCCAGACAAGTTGTTTTTAATAACACAATAACATCTGATTTAAAGTGAAGAACTCAAGTATGTGAGTAAACATGTAATTGCACTGAAAAAGCTTGTAAAATTCACCTTGAAAATGCTTGAATTTGACATTGGAAAAGGTGTAACAACCCTGATACAAATGCTTTAATATTTTTAGCTACAGTAGGTACATTTAACAGTAGCATTCAAGTAATAATCTGAATAAACAAATGTAAAAAAACAGGACATAGACTTCACTGCATTAATTAAATATATACTGATTCTTTTTAAAGTTACTGAAGTTATTTAGTCAACAGCAGTAAGTTATTTTTATTAGGTGGCTGTCACTTTAAAAGTTAATTCATGGATATAATGTAATGACAGATCCGAACTGTTTATATAAATGCATCATTCATTATAAATGCATCATTCATACATTCATTCAAGATATAATCAACTGTGTTTAACTAAACCTTATGTGTATTTCACAGTTTAAGCACAATAAGTTGTGAAAATGATGCAAAGGATTTCAGTACTCACACTGGTGTACACGCTTAGAAAAGTATATGTCAGAACAGTGTGCAATCAGTGCAATGAATGATGGGATATGATATGCAACAGTTTGTGTAGTGTGAGAGTCAATGTAATGGAAAGGGTGACCTCTGATGGTAAGCAGACGGAAGTTCATGGACCGGATTCATGACAGCAATAAAAAATTTAACTGGCATGATTTTATAAGTGTGTTGAGAAGGTTGCACCAGAACTGCAACTGATAGAATATGCACTTGTAGCACGATACTATGATCTTTCTTCAAAGGCAGATCGTGGAGGAATTTTAATTGTTTACGACCTTAAATCGTGATATCGCACACCCCTAATTAAAATCATTTGTGGATCTTATTAAAAATAAATAAAATTATTATAAAATGTAGGTTATGGCTCTTTTAATAATTTTGCCAAATGAACTTATGCTCAACTGAAAGGGATTGTCATTGCAATTGCAATCTACCAGTTGGACACCACTGAGATCATTTTGAAATGTTGTATTCAGTGGCACCTCTATTAGCTATGCATTACACTCACTGAAACTTGTATTTGGCTCTCATTCAGATTGTCCAGCTGTAATCTCACTAGTCAGTCATGTGAAATTGTGGCTTCAGCTCTACAATCCTCAAACTGTGCCCTGAGAGAGCTGGATCTGAGTAACAATGACCTGCGGGATTCAGGAGTGAAGCTGCTCTCTGATGGACTGAAGAGTCCAAACTGTCAGCTGGAGATACTGAGGTGTGTAACAGTAACTTTTTTCCATGTCTATTTTCTAATAGAGTCCTGATACTCTGGAAGCTGAGCCTACCCATAGCTCAAACAGCAGAGCATGGTGCTTGCAAAGCCAAAGTCAAGTTGTCTGTTCCCAGGGAATTCATGAATTTATCAAATGTGTGACTTCTTTGCCATGAAAGGCACTCTGGAGTATCTTAAAAGGCACAAATATACAGGAGTTGTACAGATTGGTAATACTTTGTCATTCAATAATGCTCCCAAAAATGAAAGTTGTATAATTTACTGATCCTCATGTTGTTCTAGACCTGTATGACTTAATTTCTTCTCTGCAATTCAAAAGGAGGAATTTTGTCCAAGCTGCTTTTTAAGGGTGCTAAATATGATTTGAAACCACTGGATATCGCACAGGAGCACAAGCATCTCAGACCAAAACAAACATGTGCTTCGGCCACACCTCTGCCCTTCCTTCATGCTATGATAAAATATAAGTATGCTATATAATATAATATAAATATGCTATAATTATAATATAAAAAACATGGCCAAGATGTTTTCATTCAGAAAGTGTAGTATTTTTAGTTTTTGTGATCTCAGTCAGAATCACAGTCAGATTTTGATCCAGCAGCTGAGGTTAGTGTAAGTTTCAAAAGGAGGGGCTCACATGCACAACAATTTGGGACAAATATAATGTAATTTAATGGAAAACTATGTGAATGGCGCTGTGTTGCGCAGCAGAATTTTCTCACATGTCAAAACAAACAACACGAGGTGTCAGTGATTTCTGCCTCTAGAGGCCGCTCTTACACTGTAATAAATAAAAAATATGGCAGTCACACACAAGGCAAAAGCGCAGCATCTACAACTCAAAGGTATCACATACACCGGAGCCACAGAAAGACAAACATGTCGCTGAAAAATACACAACACAACATTTTACAGCCTAGGGTGAAGACATTATGCACTTTAACAACAATTTGGGACAAATATAATGTAATTTAATGGAAAACTATGTGAATGGCGCTGTGTTGCGCAGCAGAATTTTCTCACATGTCAAAACAAACAACACGAGGTGTCAGTGATTTCTGCCTCTAGAGGCCGCTCTTACACTGTATAATGACAGTGGACCTTCTCAGCCGCTCCAGCAACGGACGCAACCCAGAAAAAAAAATCAGCATGGATTTTTGCCGATAACCGATAGTTCTGGAAATCAACTATCAGTGCTGATTAATTGCTAAAACCGATATATCGGTTGACCTCTAATATACACATCATATATAGCACCTTTAAATATATAAAACGACATAAATGGACAGTGGCTGTCAAGCTCCAAAAAGGGAAAACCTGAATGACATTTCAAACCTATTCTCTCTGTAGGTTGTCTGGCTGTATGGTGACAGAGGAAGGCTGTGGTTATTTGTCTTCAGCTCTGAGTTCAAACCCCTCACACCTGAGAGAGCTGGATCT